TATCGTTCGTATCGTAAAATATCGTGTTATTAAAATGGAGAGGAGGTATTTCTTTGATCGAGTTACCTTGTTTAATGGAAATTGATTTGACAAGTCGCCACCAATTATTCTCACTGAAATTATTCTCTGAAATGTTTTGGTCAAGTTTATCATAGTATAATTGTTTCGATTTGCGAATTTCAGAAATAACAAAGTTGCGATACGATCTGAAATTTTCCCAAGATTCATACGTGTTATGACGTTTCGAGTGACGATGTATACGGTTTCTTTTGCGTATGATTTTCCTCAAATGACCATTCATCCACGGCGCATCACGAGGGCGTATTATCACGGTTTTGTGTGGGGTGTAATCTTCAATGGCTTTAATCAACACACCAGAAAAGGCATCGGTCAAATTATTAGAGGATTCGTCTATCTCAAAAATACTTTGCCAATTTAATGCTTCAAGGTGCCTATTCAATTCTTCAAAATCAATTTTAGAATATGACCATATAGTTCTAGTGTAGTTTTTCGGTTGGGGGTTATCAAAAGTAAGAAACACTTTAACCGGGCAGTGGTCGCTCAGGCTTGCTTCAAGAACATTTGTTGAGTAAACGAAATCGGGACAGCTAACTAAAACGAGATCCAGTAAAGTGGAAGAGTGGGGTGTGATTCGTGTTGGGTCTCTAACGAGTTGGGCTAAGTTAAAGCGTTTTATAATATCAAATAATCTGGATGGTGTATTTAACCTAAGGTTAACGTTAAAATCGCCTACAATAAGACAAGGTTTGTTTTCAGCTTTAGCTAGTGAGACACTATTTGCTATTCGGTCCCAGTAATCAATGGTGGAGCTAGGTTTCCTGTAAAAACAGCCAACGAGAACGGTTTTAATCTTAGTTTTGATCTCAACCCATACCGCTTCAAGATTTGGTATATGAAGATCAGGTCTAGGTTTGTAAAATAGAGAGCTTTTAACATAAATCCCCACCCCGCCAAATCCATCATCACGGTTACGTAGTACAGGTAAATGAAAACCATCTATGTTTAAGTTTTCTACTTTTGAGTCTTTACCTAACCATGTTTCGGAAAATGCCAAGATATCATTATCGGAAAATTCTGCTTGTATAAGATCAAGTTTCTGTGAGATACTACGTACATTTAAGTATAAGAGACTCAGATGTTTATCTGGTCCCGGATTGGGCTGTATGTTGCCACTAAGTAAAAGTAAGGTATAAATTATTAATGACAAAATAATCGTATTTTCAATACCGACGGAAGTAGGTATAATACATCTGACATTTTCATGAGCAAATATAACTGTAGTATGAAAGGCATGTAATACTTCTTCTGCCCATTTCTTCAATAAGGCTATTTCATTAGCGATTGTTTTGAAATGATGCTTTGTTTTAAACAAATGGGCGAAGAAGAAGCAATGTTAAATGTGACAACAGATATTAAGTAGCACGAAATTTTAGATGGAGAAATACAATAAAGTTGGTCAATTTTAAAACAATGCGTTGATGTTATATGTTGTGAAGTGCACATAATAAGGCATATTAGATTTATTTTGAAGGTAATTAACAAAATAACGGAAATGAACAGTAAAATCTTTTGAATAAGACAATAATTACTAAATATAAGAAGATAACTAATAGAGTAACATATGTACATATTTCCCAAGTATTCTCTTGGGTTTCTTATCAATCAACAGTAGGGTAACATGTGAAGTTTAAGGCTCGGAGCGATTATGGTGTATCCTACAAAACATATGCAGGGACCCCTATCTGAAAAACCACATTATGCTGTTTCAGTATATAGTTGCTGCTAAAGTTGTGTTTTAATAGATTATTTCATATACACGCTCTTAACAATAGGATCAATTCATCAACAATATGACGATAGTAGGGGCATGCAAGAAACCATAATGTTATATTTGCACTTTAAATAATTAATTGGTAGGCAGTCTTTGTTCTACAAGCTTCAATATATTGGGCTGGTGTACTTTGTTTTTTGGAAGAGTGACTCTTTCGTCCAGGCCTAGTGAATTATAACAATATGTAATGATATAACTTTCGTTGACTTGACGATTTTATGTGCAAGTGCAAGACTAATCCATTGGTTTAAGGTGACAGTACTCACAGGCAATTCTAATAAAGAATAAAGTATAGATTGACATGTAACCCATGCCATTTAACCTATGACAATTAATTTCATACACGTGTATGTTTATAAACAAGGTTGTTTATTTTGATGATGGCCTAGTTAATTATAACAACACATGTTAAGAAAACATCTGCTGACCTATAACGATTGTCTATGCATGACTAATTCCGCAGTTAAAGTGGCAATACTACACACTATAACAACGAGTAAGGTTTAAATGACATACAACCTATGACAAGTTTGTACGAAGCATATTTAGAATTTTGTACAGATCACAATTTATATAAATATGAAGAGTATCGTGGGTGTAAGTAATATATTTTTATAGAATTTTATTTAGCAAGCCATTTTATAAATCTATATTATTAACGTCAACAAATATAGATATTTGACAAGTCATATCTGACACAATCTAAATAAATGTGAGATGTAATTGTGAAAGTTAATAAAAAAAAAATAACCAAATTGCTTGGGGAAGAAACTTCAATTAAATAGTGAGTAAATTTAAAGGAAAATATAGATTTTGTATTATGTTAGAAAAAATAGTCAAATAGTAATTTATCTAAAGCAGAATATGTTTTATGTTAGAAAAAAAACAAACTAAAGCCAATACTTTATCTTAATCAAAGCAGCTTTCATTAGCTGATTAGTTTTAATAAATTTTATCAAATGATTACATTTTATCCATAGAAGTATTAAATGTACAAGATTAAAATTTTGTCAATTTAAGTAGCTTACATAAAGTAATTAAAAACAAGTTATTTTCTTCAATATCTGATTGACACTCTAAGACAGAATAAGACAGACTACCTTTAAACGTGTAAGGAAATGAAATGAAATTGTGTTTAACGTAATGATGTCCTTCTCCTACTGGGCAAATAAAGACAGGCATACGCCATGCAGTGGTGTGCTATGAGGAAAATTTTTTTTACCTGTCAGTGGCGCTACAGCCTATTCTTATTTTGAATTCCAACTGTCATGGGTTCTTTTATGTGCACACCAATGTGTACATAGGACCTCATTATTTTTTGTCCCATTCAAACAACTATAGATTGTCCCTTGCCAGGCCATTCGTCCTACACTGCTGACAAGGGGGAACCACGCCTTAAAATTCCGATGAACTTTCTTGGTCAACGCAGGGATCAAACAACAGGGTTAGCAAGTCAACATCCTACTCAAAAAAATAAACTAAAATAGTTCAAGAATTAAGCCTTTTTTTATTAACCTAGAGCAGAAATAGCATCAGGGTTTCAACATCCAGCCAATTAAAGTACTGCACCATTGAAATATTTTGATGAAGGTTTTTGTGAATAAGGCCCCTTTAATATGAAGTAAAGAATTCCTTTAATAAGTATTGTTAGCATATAGTAATATATGGTATACATTTACCTACTGTAACATATTGTATCATACATATGGTACATATTAAACTAACATGTGACAAAAACCAACAATCTTTATAACTCGTATGATACAACATTAGTTTCCGACATCTACCTTATGGTACTATAGGCTATCTATAATTTCAAGGATATTACGGTTTATCCAATTCATGTATGCTTTGAAAGAAAAGGTAGGTTTTTGTATTCAATATCAATTTTTTGCTCAATATGTTAATCGCTATTGACAGAATCTTTGATTTTCCATTATAAAGTAATAATTTAGCGACTCAACAAAGGATATCTTACAATCTGATTAAAACACAGATCCTATTTCGTTTCGTTTTTTATATTTCAAAATTTTATGTTCTGGATGACATGACAAGTTTTTGGCGTGAGTTGCATGGAACTGTGGCTAACCCACTCAAATGTCTGATGTCATAGGGTCAAAAGTCGCTTGTATGACCTCCTACACGACCTCCCACTACAACTGGTCAGATCTTGAAAATTTTGTGTTCTGGATGATTGACGAGTTTTTGGCATGAGGTGCATGGAACTGTGGCTAACCCACTCAAATGTCTGATGTCATAGGGTCAAAAGTCGCTTGTATGACGTCTGACACGACCTCCTACTACAACTGGTCAGATCTTCATGTAGTAGAGGCCATCGAAAGTATAAAAAAAAAACGAAATATAGATCAGATTGGATATCATAATAAAGCTGCCTGTAAACATTTCAAGTAAAAACATTTTGTATTACCAGTAACCTATTTAAAATAAGAAAATAAAATGACTTATGGCTACATTTTAATAACCCTTTCAGTAGGACGTTAAATTACATTTCAATCATTTAATTACTTTTATTATAGGGATGGAGAATTATTATTGCAAAAATTTGTTGTAAAATTTGCCAGCTGAAAAAAAAAACAGTGACTATTTCTACTTACAAAAGATGACATTCTAACAGACCCTAATAGTAGCATGAACTTGATTTCCCCACCAAACTACAAACAAACGATGAAGTCAAGTTTTAAGAGTTTGTGAGGATAGGATCTGTACCACCAAAGAATTAGTATGGTCTAGTTTTAGGGGAAAAAATGGTGTTTATCCTTCATTTGTGAAACAAACACATACGCAATTTAACAAGTTGATGTTTGTACAAAGTCGCATTAGATAGCTTGATTGCCAAACTAATGATTGATGTTACCAATATCATTTGAGATAGGCTTTTTTTGTGCATATTTTTTATATATTATTTGAAACCAGGATTAGTTTACCGACCTCCAGAACAGACCCTAATATGGGCGATGTTAGTAATGGCTGTCATCAGCACCATTTTGTTGATTTTCAAAATATTTACTTCATGTCAAGTGATTCAAATTGTATTCTTAAGTACCAAGTATAAATTGAAATTTTTTTAACAACTCGGCAGAACAAATTAATATTTTATTTAATCAAAAATCCCTTTTTTGTATTTCAGGTGAAAAGAATTAAGTAAAAGTACCTGTACGTTTGAAGAAAACCAAAATAAAATATGGGAGTAAACAGTCAACAATTTCAGCTCGGTCTGTTGATCGTTACTCTAGTGGTTGATGTTGCAGATATTATTTGCGATTGGCTATTTTTTGTACATATATATTATCTGGAACCAGGATTAGTTTACGGCCCCCCAAAACAAGCCGTAATATGGGCGCTGTTAGCAATGGCTGTGATCGGATCTATTTTCTTGATTTTTGAAATGGCTAATTCATGTCATGGGATTTGTAGTGGACAGGCATGGGTGTGTACCGACTGTGTCTCTCTCGCTACTGTCTGGTTCGCTGATTTACCACAACTGATCCTCAGCTTGATAATCGCTGCTTGTCGTGAAGATCCTGTCAGCATATTCCAGCTGAGCAAAGCATCTGTGGTTCTACTTGCCATGTTAATCCGACTACTTCTATATTTTGTGCGGTACTGTAATAAGGAATCCTTTAAAGAAGCCAGCAAACATAATCCGGCAAGAGCATCTGTTGTCAAGATTCGTTTAGTTATTTTCCTTGGACTTCTTCTAAATATTCTTGCATCTGTCCAAATTTTCCTTTTTACTCAAACCAATCTAACAGATAATGGTATCTCCATTTCAACTCCGTCATCAGCCTTCGATCACGAATTTGATAACGATCGATATTTTAAAAATGTCAGTATATTGTTTCATCACCCAACTTTTATATATAATGGGCAAAATTCGAATGACAATTTTATGCGACTAATAAAAATAAACAATTTACTTTATAATCCTGACAAAAAATACTTTTTTAATTATGAATATCAAAGTACCAGCACTGATTTGAAGATGGTGATTTGGAAAACAACAGATTCAGAACCATGGCAACCAATGGAATGTTATATGATTAATAAAACTACAAAACAGATCACCGTTGGGACAAACTGTGCTTTTTTCATAATCGGCCCTTACACAGAATCCATCTTTTTTGCATTTGAATTTGACGCTCCACATGGTCTTTTTGCTAAACAGCTAATCGGAGATATAAAATACAATGCCAAGGTCAACAACAATATCGAATGTAAAACTCTTCAAAACATCAAAGAAAGTATGGGGTCTGACGTTTCACTGGCTGTTCACTATTACAGGACAACTTTATCAGATGTAAATCATCTCATTCAAGTCTCGGGTCAAGCTACTTTTTACGGCACTAAGAATTTGACGGATATCAAAACTGTCTGGAAGACCGGATGGTGTAATTGTGAAAGTACAGGAGCATTAGCACCACATCAAGATACATCTGTTATTACTCCATGTTCCAGATCCTAAACAATATTTATTTATTCATAAAAATACAACTTTATGGTTTACTACTTCTTGGTTTATTTACATGCCATGTTTCAATACTCTTACAGGTATCTTTATCAAGCATTAATAGTATACCTCTACTTCTAAATGTCATTTAAGAATAATATTTATTTATTTTATATTAGTTTTTAGAGGAATATGTTTATGTGTGATTTAATGGAACTGAAGAGGACAAATGCTCATCTGGAATTCAACATTTATCTCAAAAGCAAGACTGAAAGAAATATTTGTTATAACTATAAGTGTTGATAAAAAAAAAAACCCACATGAAATTAACTCAACTATTATTATTTTCAAAATGTAAAATATCAAATAAAGAGAAGAACAGTTCTCCCAATTTTAAGTAAACATTGGAACTCTTCAATAAGGTCACAATTTTAAGTAAACACTGGAATAACTATTCAATAAGGTCACAATTTTAAGTAAACATCGGAACTACTCAATAAGGTCACAATTTTAAGTAAACATTGGGACTACTCAATAAGGTCACAATTCTAAGTAAACATTATAACAACCGGTATAGGAAGTGACAATAATTCTCATACTAGATTTGTTACAACCAAAACATTGTCACTTAAAGTTATTGCGCTTTAGAAGTCTTCATAATTTTAGATTTGATGTGATTTGGCTACAGAGGTACATCAGACATGTTCCAATTAGACTGTATTCAACTCTGAAATATACCTGCCAAGAGATATAGGGATGGTTTTGTTTTTGTGGTTTTCTTGGAGTTTAAACAATGCCTGTGATATATATACCATAATCTAAGTAGTTCAGTATTTTGTTTTTTTCAGTAATTAGCCGAGTCAAATGTTATTATCAATATGATATTAGTCTAAATCAATTACTTTCATTTTCTTTGTGAAAGTTATAATAACTCTTTGAACTCTAATTATATTATATACATTTTTAAATAAATGTACACAAAACTCTACCAATCTTCAAACTTATGTTTTCGAATCCCCGGCTGTACGTGACAAGGAGTAGGGTCGCCTGTCCAGCCTCGTGGGTTATCTCCGGGTCCTCCGGTTTCCTCCCACTGCTACAGACCCCTACGCGCAAGCAAATTATTGAAATAAAATTAAACCATATGTTAGTCCCGAAATGACCTAGTTTGTGTCGAGTGGACGTTAAACCCCATTTCTCTCTCTTTCTCTCTCAAACTTATGTGTTGATGGATTTACGGTACATTTGTATGTTTTATTTATGTCATGTATGTATATTTTATCAATTAAAGCAGATGATCCTTCTTTGCATTTTTCAGACAATATCTGATTTTACACAGCTTAATCCATGCTAAAATATACTCTAGTTGATTATTCAACATTTAATTAAGAAAACAAAATCAAAATATCAAAATTAGATTATCTCCAGATTTGGATAAATCTGATTAAAAGAGACACATCAAAAGTTTCAATGGAAATATCGTATTACAGGGGTGCCAAACTTATCAATCCATAGTACCTTTGTAAATATTGATCAGAATTGAACCATTTTTGAACTAAAACTCATTTTTACAAATCCCTAAAATGACTATCAAAGATTTTAAGTAATCCATTTACTATATAACATATATGTTATTTCATTTAAGTTATCTAATAACTATATGACATGTATATATGTTTTATTTAAGTAGGGGACCACGGTGGCTAAGTGGGTAAGACGCTGTCTCGCTGGCCTGGAGCTCGGGTATTCGATCCCTGCATTGGCCGAGAAAGTGCATCCAGATTTTGTGGCGTGGTTCCCCCTTGTCAGTGATGCAGGACGGAGAGCCTGACAAAGACAGCTGTCTAATCGTTCAGATGTGACGAAAATCCGAGGTCCCGTGTACACATTGGCGTGCAGGTAAAAGATCCCTTGACAGTTGGAATTCGATAAAAGGGTAGCCCGTAGTACCACTGTCTGGACAAAATTTCCCGCATAGCACACTGTATGGCATATGCCCATCTCCATTAGCCCAGTTCGGAGCAGAACAGTAGGATGTTAAACCCCATTTCATTTTATTTCATTTAAGTAATCTAATAACTAAATGACATGTGTCTGTTTCATTTATGTAATCTAATAACCATGTGACATGCATGCATGGTTTATTTAAGTAATTCAGTTACTATATGACATGTATACGTTTTATTTAAGTATTTCAGTTACAATATGACACGTATGTATATTTCATTTAAGTTATCTAATAACTATTTGACTTGTATGTATGGTTTATTTATGTAATTCAGTTACTATATGACATGTATGTTTTATTTAGGTGTTCTAGTTACTATATGACATGTTACTAGGATGTTCTTCACCCACGCTGAGGCCCTATAACTCTACTACTGTAGCCTGATGTGTTTGTAAATATGAATATTGTAGAATAAAAGTATTTAAAATTGTGCAACATGCTTTTAAACTTGATACTAATATTTGATTTCTGATATATCAATTAAGTACTGCTTCATCTGAAGACAGAATGGTAAATAAGACCCAATGAGTAGGGATGGGAAAGAGTGACAGAGATATGTGGTTTAATGTCATTAGGGACTAACATATGGTTCAATTTTATTTCAATAATTCACTTGCGTGTAAGGGTCTTATGCAGTGGGAGGAAACCAGAGGACCCAGAGAAAACCCATGAGTTTGGACAGGTGACCATACTCCTTGTCACGTACAAGTGGGAATTGAAACCATACAACTCTGCGCATTGACAGACCTCATGATCTAACTCGCACCGGTGAAAGAATTGTATAAAATCAACTGTCTTGTAAAAATATTTTAAATATTATAATACACTTACCTTTAGCTTTGTAAAGAGCTTTAAGAACAACTGGCCAATCTTGGCTTGATGCATTAAAATTTTCTGACATATTGAACTTCCCAATGCCAACAGGCTGACCATTAAAGGAATAACTGGATTCAAAGGATGTGAAATCTGACTGATTATATGTCTGGTAAATAAACTGACCAATACGATTGCTTGTAGAGGCCCAATCTGTCTGGTTAAAGAGAAAAATAAAATACAATCTATTACTGCGGAGAGAGAGAGAAATGGGGTTTGACGTCCACTCGACACATACTAGGTCATTTCGGGACTAACACATGGTTCAATTTTATTTATTTTTTAGCAGTGGGAGGAAACCAGAGTACCAGGAGAAAACCCACGAGGTTGGACAGGCGACCCAACTCCTTGCCATAGTATTACTGTGGACAAGGAGTGAGAGAGAAAATGGGGTTTAATGTCCACTCGACACAAACTATGACACGTTTTGGGCCCAATATATGGTTAGGGTTCTTTAGCAGTGAGAGGAAACTGGAGAACCCAGAGAAAATCCATTAGGTTGGACAGGCGATCCTACTCCTTGTCACATAGAAGTGTGGGATTGAAACCATGACACTTGAATCTATGACAGACCTTATGATCTAAAGTGATCACATTAGATCATTCGGTCACCCAGCCTCCCATGTGTACAAGGGATGGTAGATAAAAGAAAGGATTGGAGATCACCATCTTGTTAACACTTTTTTTGGGTCATTCAAAGAGTAATACAATGTTGACTACACAGTAGTGTATCTTGTCTCTGCTGCCCTTCCCTCCCCCTGTGACAAAATTTACAACACAATATACAGCAAATTAAAAAAGCATTTTTTTCCTTCTATGGTTTCTTGCAGAAAAATAAATGAAATGAAATGAAATGGGGTTTAACATCCTACTATTCTGCTCCAAACTGGGCTAATGAAGACGGGCATACACCATACAGTGTGCTATGAGGGAAATTTTGCCTGGACGGCAGCACTACAGCCTACGCTTATATCAAATTCCAACAGTCAAGGGATCTTTTATGAGCATGCCAATGTGTACACGGGACCTCGGTTTTTCATGTCATCCAAATTACTAGACAGCTGTCCTTGTCAGGCCCTCTGTCTTGTACCACTGACAAGGGGGAACCACGCCGGAAAATCTGGATGAACTTTCTTGGCCAATGCAGGGATCGAACACCCGACCTCCAGACTAGCGAGCCAGCACCTTACCCATTTCGCCACCGTGACCCCCCCCCCCCCCCCTGCAGAAAATTAACTCTTTTTCATCGCGGACCAAAAGTGCTCTGCCTCAGTTACAAAGTAGCCACCTGAATACACATTCAACAATAACTGCCATTATTTAATTATAATTACAAGTCATCAACATACCCCTGTTATAGGATCAACTAGAGATATTATACAACCATCTTTATCAAATTGAAACTTAAAACCATTCTCACATTTCTGTACATCTGATATTGAAGCTGTTACATAACCTACAAATAAAACAAATTCCGCATAAAACTTGATTCCATTAAGGGATAAGGCTAACAGAAAAAAAAAACAGTTTTTAAATTCAAAATCTATAGAATTTGTGGAGATAATTAAATTGGTTGTAGAGATATTATGTACTCAAGTTTTTCATACTTTTCCCCAAAATTACGCTTTACTTTGGGAACAAATTTATTTGTTTGTCTTTTTTTTTTAAAGCTGGTTTTCCTGTACTTTCTTGTAACTAATTGAACTATTTTCAAGGTCTGTGGGGTGAAAAACGCCACTTCTAAAATTGTTTATTGGCGGAAGGGGTATTGAAAAATTGGATTCTGATAAAGGAGTGGGATTTCATAAAATAAATATATTTGCTAAGGCTATGACAAAGACATACATGTTGGTGGTGGGGGTGATTTGAACTACAAATGGTACCACACTGACACATCAACCTGTTTCTATTAACACAAGATCTACTTGATTTAATGATTGTTGTGCACCTTTTAAAGATGGTTGACATCAAAAACATATCATGAGTTTGAATTATACCAAAATTTCCCCCAAAGTTTCTTGAATATTGGAACAGCAAAGGGAGATAATAAAATGGAGGGTTTTTTTTTCAAAATTTTACTCCTGCTTTATGTAATTAATTTTTATGGTATGCAAAAACAAAAATCTAATTAAAAGCCCAAATTTTGTCCTTTATATATTTATAAAGCTTTTGATGGACACAAGAGATTAACCACTTTGAAAATATTAATTTTGATCTAGAAACTTGCTCTGTACTGGATAAAATTTTATTCTGGAGTAATGAAATATTTTCTTACCATTTAAATCAGGTTTCTGTGCTTTGATCATGCTGAATTCTTTCTTTACAGCCTCTACCAGTGGATGATCACCCAGAGTTTCTAATGATAGATAGGTAAATTCTCGCTGTTCTGTCCACGAGTTAATACTCACTTTATAATTAATAGCTATAACAATAAAAAACTTGTAAATATACATTTGACACAATCGTCATAATTTGTCAGGAATTTTCAAGTGGTTGGAATAATAACTTGATTATCTTAAATAGCTATAATACCTAGCGAATGGTTTGAATGCATCCGATTGTTTGAAAATATATAATAGATCAAAATTCAAACAATCAAACAGAAATATAAGGCCATTAGACTATTTTAACCCAAAATATTAAATTGAAGCGAAAGGTGACATCTGCTTTATCTTTGTCACAGTTTGGTTCAATGCTAGAGAAACTAATTTTGTCCTGAACAGCAGCATTTCTGCAGAATTCCTACTGTCATGGGTTCCCTCAATTAAAAGTTAGTGTATACAAGGATGTACTGTGCCTTGTTTTTACATCCCATTCATTCCACCAGGCAACACTGTACTTGTGTCAGCCTTGCATGTGGAAACCAGGCTCGATAAATTCTGAGGGTCTTCTCAGCCATGTAAGGATTGGAAGTTTGGCCATTACAGTCGAGAGGGATCCTAAAAAAATGTTGTTTTTTTTCCCTGCAATATTAATTGTTATCTATCAAATAACTGTTACTGTAAAAAAAACAAAAAAAACCCTAAAGCATTCATAAATTACCTACAACAACCTACTTACGTTTTTCTTTAAGTTGTGTATTAAAATTTTGGTTGGACCAGTTAACACCATCAAATAGTGAATCAATACCCCATGTATGTTCTCCTAATTTGGTCATTATTATACTGCTGTTATAAAATACTTTATCAATTACAGAACATGGTCCTAAAATAAAAACACAATAAAACATAAGTTGCCAGCAACAAACCATGCCCATAAGCAACTAAGTCACCTACAGCCAGTCCCAGATTTATCAATTACAGAACATGGTCCTAAAATAAAAACACAATAAAACATAAGTTGCCAGCAACAAACCATGCCCATCAGCAACTAAGTCACCTACAGCCAGTCCCAGATTTATTTACTTTAGTTTGGTAAAGATAGTTGCTTGGGGGAGAATTATTTTATAGATTTCATGAACATTTTACCTTGTTCAATACATTGTGTACGTAATCTAGAATAGGCTCGCATTTCAGCTATTTTTCTAGGATCTGAACCTGGTCCTTGTATCCATGTGTCCCCTATTTCCTTGGTTACCACAGGAAGCTGTGATTTTATAGGCTGAACAGCTTCAACAAATTCATCAAAAGTTGATGCCTGAACAACAGCGTTAGGAAATTGACCACGAGCTATTTCATAATTCGTAAGTATTTCCTGAATATAAAAAGAAAGAAAGATTGAAGATAAATAATTGATATTGATAAATGAAATTAGTTTATTGTTCTGGTTAACAAGTGAAGCACCAATATAGGCCTACAGCTTCAAATGGTTGACTGAAACTACAATAAAGAGTTCTAGAGTTTACTACACAGAGCAATCTGGTTAAAATACAGATCCTATTTCGTTTCGCTTTTATAGTTCAAAATTTCGTTTTACTTGTCATTACTACACTTGGATCTGGAAGAGTTGTTATTTAACTCGTGTTCTGAATGGTGTCAGGAATAAGCCAATGAAACGGTCTGTTATGGCAAGCTTTAGGTGTGTTTTTTACGGAACTGTGGGTAATCCACTAGTAACATCAATACTGATTGGTTAATCAAATGTCTGACGTCATAAGGTCATAAGTCGGTCTTTTGACCCCTGACGTGACCTATCGCTATAACTTGTCAGATCTTCATGTAGTGTAGGCCATCGAAAGTATAAAAAAACGAAACGAAATATAGATCTGTATTTTAATCAGATTGTACACAGAGCATCAAATTGTTGACAATAAAGGTTCTAAAAGACTTCCAACTCTCTATGTATATTATGCCCTGTCCGTAGGTTTGTCTTGTGTTAATTGTTCTGTGTGTGGTGCAGTTGCTCTGACCTTACATCATAAATATATACCATAGAAGAATTAACAAATTTATTCACCAATATATATCTGGGATTTCTCGTTTAAATAAAGTATCAGTGATTTTACTGATAAATACTGTTTAATTGATGTGGGAAAGCAACTTGAATTGGGTCATATATGATCCTGATTAGCCAACCTCTTTCAATGGCTGGCTATAATGTTAAACAGATCAGTTTTTACTTACAGAGATATTAACTGGAGGGCCACTATTATCAGTTCTAAATGCAAAACACATAACTTCTGGGAAACCAGGAAACATAACACAGTCTTGTTTGGACATTCCACCTGGTTTGCCGGGCCCAGTACCTGGCGCTTGTGGGTAGCCACCTAGAACAAAAATATAAATACAGTTATTCATCTTCTGACATCAGATATTTATAATACAAAGGTAGTAATGATTAATAAAAACTTTATCAACTGCTACAATTTCTCAAGATTTTCTTCTTCCATACTGGGTTGTAAAGAGTAGGCATGAAGTTATCAGTAAGAGGTCTATGAGGTAAAGAAATGAAATGAAATGAAATGGGGTTTAACGTCCCACTGTTCTGCTTCGAACTGGGCTAATGAAGATGGGCATACAAATTTTGCCCAGACAGCATCACTACGGCCTACTCAAATATCAAATTCCAACTGCCAAGGGATCTTTTACGTGCACACCAATGTGAACACGGGACCTCAGTTTTTCATCCTATCCAAACGACTAGACAGCTGTTCTTGTCAGGCCCGCCGTCCTGCACGACTGACAAGGGGGAAACCACGTCAGAAAATCCTGATGAATTTTCTCAGCCAATGCAGGGATTGAACATGCGACCTCCAGGCAAGTGAGCCAGCGTCTTACCCACTTAACCACTGTGGCTCCCCTGAGTTATAGATGATCTGCAGATGTAATATAAACACACTCCAAAACTACCACAATTAAAGTATTTGTACTAAGCAGTCTTGAGTTAATCAAATATAATATTCAATATTATAACAATTAAAATCCCCCCCCCCCCCCCTTCCCCAAATTTGTTTTGGGAAAAATAAAATTGTTCATGTGAAATTTTTACTTACACAAAATTATGTATTATCCAATTTTACCTGGGTGCCACATGGCTATAAGACTTTTGTTCTGATACTGCCAGTTAAAGATGTCAGGAACACCGGGTGGAGCCGACATAGGATTAACACCAACAGTTATTGCCACTATACCTTTACTAGCAAATATTGGTAATAGAGCCTTTGACATACCTACAAAAATATAATAACAAGTCATCAATCAGGCTTTCACTTCAAGATTTTACCAGCCAGTAACTTTATGGCATATTTTGTCACAGATTAGCATGCTATTCTTTTAAAAGAATATGAGTATTTTTAACATTATCCGTCAATCTTGAGATAGGCCACGGTTTATTCACATACCTGGCCCCTTTTCTATCGAAGCAACAGACTTGGAATAAACTCAAACATACTTTAAGTCCAAAGTTAACACAACTAGGCATTTTCTGACTAAAACTAAAAATAAGAATGTTCGACTCAGGAGAAAATCAGATCAAAGGTTAAAAACAATTACCAGGTACATCTCGTTGGCTTACTGTTTTATATTTTCGTTGTATCTTAAACATTTCATCCAGATCATCTGATAATTGTAAACTGAACTCTATTAATGATCTGTCCATCATCTCATACTGCATGTTCATTGGTCCAGCATGCCATGTGATATCACCACGAGCAACCGCTCCATAAAAATTCTGCAAATCTTTTGCTGATGGACACTGTCAATGAAATCAATATTTTTTAAAAACAAAAATAATTGTTGAACACATAAATTTGTCCTTTAAAAAGGTTTGGAGATAAAGTATACATAGGCTTGAAAATAATCTTGAAATTTTACCAGACAATTAATTTCGTCATTTTGTTTACGGCAAATTTGGTAGAAATATCTCATAAAATATAATTATTTGTAGCCTTGTCTAAATTTAAATTCTATTACTTGAACATATATGCAGAGAAAAGGAACAATAAAAATGAATCTAGTGAAAATTTCATTCAAATTACTTTATTTTGTACTAAGTTATGACTGTCTGAAGATGCGGCGTAGATGGCTTATTATCGAGACTAATTCTCGATTTTCTGTTTTATCATTAAATGTTTAAATCTTGCGAGTGTTAAAATCCATCCACTGACCTAGAGAGTTGATTTTGGGCTTGTTGTGTGAATTAATGTCTAAATAGTAATATGATTTGAAGACCTGCAATAGGTAGATTTAGATCTTACATCATGCATCTTTAAAGACAATACAGGTAATATGTACAAAAAATCCTTGGCTGTAAAGAGAGTTGAAACATTTTGCCCACTGTTAGACTGATGTCCCTTGCCTCAATCCCAAAATAAATAGATGACACATATTAATTAATTGCATGTATTTCTTTTTATAAAGCATCAAGCAACCAAACTGCTTATGTATACTTAGACTATGCAGAAATTGCTCATGATGGAATTTAGTTAGGGTTTCGATGTAATGAAACTATACACCAAGTTTCAACACTCTTCTACAATTAGAATCAAAGTTGACCCCCAAAGCATTGACATTTACCAATTAAATTGCTTTTCTCAGCCAAGCCTTAGACCAAAATGCTCATCATCAAGCTCAGTCAAAACATTTACCCAATGAACATTCTACATCAAATATTGTGTTCCAAAGTTTCATGATTGAAAATTTTACATCAATTGGATGGAGACTAAGAGAGTAATTGTAATTGAAAGTCTTGACTAATTCCGAACAACCTCGTGCGAACAGACAGTCTGTAAGTATGGTTATTTATAAGATGATTACCTGAAGCAATATACCAGACAGGTTTAAGTTTGGTGGACAATTGACGTACATCTGTACAAGCCATGGATGTGTAGTGTAGATAAATCTCTCTCTATAACCCAGACCAATCAAGGTCTCACTCAGTTTAATAGCTCGTGGAAAATATACTTGAAAATATTTGTTGAGAACATTGTTGACTAATCCTCTCTCTTTTCCACCTAATCCATCATATCCAACATCTACAATAAATATTTCAAATCTCTATTTTAAACTTAAATGACATGGGGTTTAACATTTCACTTTTCTGCAATGACTGGGCTAATGAAGAAGGGCATTCATCATATAGTGCGCTATTAGGGAAATTTTGAGCGGACAGCATCCTACAACCTACTATTATAACGAATTTCTACTGGCAGTGTGTACACAAGACCTCATTTTTTTGTCCCAACTGACAGGGAACTCTCTCGACCAACACCGGCTGGTTGGTAAGCCAACTCCTTACTCACTGAACCACCGCGGCTCTCCTGAAATGCTTAAACTAAGGCTCTCATTGTCATTATGGTCATTTGAAGTGGTGAAATGAAATGAAATTTAACGTCCCACTGTTCTGCTCCGACTGGGCTAATGAAGACGGCATACGCCATTCAATGTGCTATGGGGGAAATTTTGTCCCGATAGCGGCACTACGGCCTACTCTTATTTCGAATTCCAACTGTCAAGGGATCTTTTACGTGCACGCCAATGTGTACACAGGATCTCAGTGTTTCGTCCCATCCAAAAGATCATTTGAAGTGGTAGTGAAATTGACTTGCTGTAAAACTTACCCATCATTCAATTTACATGTCATAAAATTAGAACATAAAAAAAGTTAGGAGATACTGAAAAATACTACTACCGGTACCATACATTTAGAAATCTGACTTAGGCCTATATTAAGTTAACCATCGGATTCAACTTACCCAAATGATTCATAAATATTAGATGAATCTTCTTGATTTCAGTGGTGTTGACATTTTGATTTCCATAAGATGAAACACTGGCCTAAAAGGGTAAAACTTACATTAACTTGCAATAAGGCACCTGTTAAAAAGTCTAAGGGTTGGGCGGCAAAATGGATAATGCACTTTGGATCATAAGGTCTGTCATTGTGTCAAGTGGCGTGGTTTCGATTACCCACTTGTGATAACCTCATGGGTTTTCTTTGGGTCCTCCAGTTTCCTCCCACTGCTAAAGACCCCTATGCACAAGTGAATTATTGAAATATAATTGAACCATAAGTTAGTCCCAAAATGATCTATATTAAATCCCTTTTCTCTCTCTCTGTTACAAAGTCAGGCACCATATCAGGCTTTGTTAGACAATACCTTTGATGCCTGTCATTTTGTCTGGCACAGATTTGTCCATTATCTCTCTCTTGTAGGCCTATCTAGTATGTCATTACATGTAAACATAGTCCACTTGAGCTGACTATATGATGATCATCGAGCTGACGGTATATCAATATCAGAGCGACTTGACCAAAGTCTTATCATATTATTGCAAACTTATAAGCCAGATTGCATGTTTTTTCTACACCGGACAATTTTAGAGTAATTCTTGTGACTGGTGTAGGAAATTGACATATGAAATAGAGATTTAGCAATAAATGGGACCTCAAAGGCTTTTACATCACTTGTGTGCTCGACTTGTTGAGCTTCTCAAATTTTTGTCTATAAAGTACACTTGGTACACTCATGTTTTTTGGCATATGAATTTTGCATTTGGGAATTCTAGACACTAGATGCTCATATTTTATAAATGTCTTTTATGTCAGTCATTATCAGAATTTGTATACTATTGGTTTATATATTGATATTCCTTTCGTATTAATTGAATTTCTCTTCGAGAAAGTGGTCATTGTTTGTAACTTCTAATGAGCAAAGAACAGCTATCTATAGATATAATTCAGTGCAGTACATATATCAGAGTCCATAAAAAAATATTTTATAGCACATATACAAAATCAAACAAAAAGTTATTTACAATTGAACATAAAATAAAAACGAGAATCCACTGAACAGTCATCTTCTGTTTACAAGGGTCACGTGAACTTCTTAATTGGAGTTATTTCCCCTTAACAACACTTCTGACTGCAGACTTTTCTTGCTATTTGCGAATTTTTAACGAGAACATGCCTTTAAGTCTCTTATTCCGTCGCCAAATGTCAAGTAATTGATGGTTATTATTCTAATATTGGCCGTCAATGTTAAATTCAAGTAATTTTATTTGGCAGAAGTTAAAAAAACGAGATGATGTGACTTTTGGTCATTGTCACAATAATTATCTCCCCTTGTCATATAAGGAAAAAGTTGTGATTTTTGTATGTTTCAACAAAAGATTCCCTTTTGTTGAGTTTTGCTGATTTTTCAAATACGTAATTTGGGTGTTTCCCATGGAATTGTTAAGTTCCATAAATTTCACTTGTTTGAATTCTATTTAATAATTCAAACTCACGGCACCTTTCGACAAATCAGGTGGTTTTCTTTCTTTTACAATTTTTGGATGCCTACTTGTAGCCTACATCAAGCAAGATGATCCTGATAAAAATGAAAAGAAAATAAACCCATCCACTACTCACATTACCGGTACTTGTAGATATATGCACAAGGAATAAAGACTAAATAAGTTCAGGTAAGATAAGGGGAAAAAATGGTGTTAATTTCTAAAGAGAGAGAGAGAGAGAGAGAGATGGGGTTTAACGTCCACTCGACACAAACTAGGTAATTTCGGGACTAACACATGGTTCAATTTTATTTCAATAATTGCTTGACTCAATGACAGACTGTATGATACAGCGCACGGTAATTTCTAAAATTGCTTCCAATATTAAAGGTGCCGTTAATGAAATCATTGAATATATATGGACACAAAAGCTATATTATTTTGGATTGTGATACTCTCTTCCCAATGACAGTGGAACGAATACAATAACTCCACTATGTATCAGCTCATCTAAATTGTAATCTCTTTCCAACAACTAATTAAATTTTTCTGAGAATTTGCCAATGCAGCATCTAACATCCAAATCTCTGTTGATTGTGCAATATATTCGATAGACAGACCTACAGGTAGGATCTAGAAGATCTGGACATATAAAATCCTGAATATTCTTCTTTGCTTTAGAAAACTTGTCAGTTCATTTGTGTGGCTACATGTTTACCACAACAAGAAAAGTAAAAAAAAATAAAAAAAATTCTAAACAAAATAGCTTTTATTATACAAGACAAAGATAACTGTACAACAATAACCAATTTTCTTTAAACCAATTTTGTTTAAGTTGTGAGTTTACAAATTCATAAAAGATCAACTGTTGGTTACATTCTCAGTAAAATTTAAAATGAACAAAACAATAATTGTGCATAATTTTAAAACTCAGATTAAAAATAAAATTTAAAAATAAAAAAATCTAAATAAATTTCTAATAATTATGCCCCTCCCCCTCCTTTTCTTTTTTTTACATGATTCCAATGTAAAAAAATTATCTTTAGAATTAAATATTTTTAAATAATTCCAATTTGAGTAGAAAATACTGAAATTGTGGTTTATTAGCTGACTACCAAATACCAATACTTCTTTTCCTTTCAATTATTCGTCATATTTACCTTTTATTGATGAAATTTTCCAAAAAAATGAATATTAAATACAAAAATTAAATGGCTTTATATTTTAAAACTAAAAGTAACAATGCATGATTGCATTTTTCAGAAAATATAAAATTTCAGATTGATTAGTTAACATTTAATTCAGAAAACAAAGTCTAAATTCTAACTCTAGATAATCTTCTGGCTTGGATTCAATAGGATTAAAAACAGACCCATCAATTTGGTTCACAACAAAAAAAGATGGTGGCATAGTAGCTACATAGGGAGCAGTAAAGATCGATGAAATTTTCATTTCGTCATGTCTTTGTAAATACTGAACCGAATTACCGTCTTCATTTAGCCCAGCCGGAGCAGAACAGTAGGAGCCAGGAGGTTAAACCCCATTTCATTTCTGAACAAAATTAAACAAAATTTGGACAGATATTCCTGTTAGAGATTCAACTTTCATAAAAATATAGTTTACAAATCATGCTCAGTGTCTTTAATAACCAGAATTCAATGTAAAAACTGCTGCAATACAATAAAACTGACTTTAAGTAAAACAAAATTTTGAAAACTAAACAATATCGAGCAAAACAATATATAGACTAGATTTCATTAAATTTCTAACAGCAAAAACTTAACAAAGCCAATATAATAACTAAATGTAATTATACAATAAAAAAATACAAAACATAAAACTTCAATATTATATACAACAACAATAATTACCGTATTAGATGTAATAATAGCCCTGGGGCATGCTTTACACACTATATGTATTTTTACATACACAATAGTGGTATTTAGTAAAATGTACGATTCACATATCTATAAGTCTTACAAGTCTTACATATATATATGTTCTCTCTTGTCCAGGCTTACAAGGAAAGTGTGCCTATTCATTTGGAGGGGATGGCAAACTGGCGTCCACTCTGAAAACAATACTAGGCAGTTGGAATTCGAAGTAGAGTAGGTGAAAACTCCAGACCCCCACCCCCCTCCACCCCACCCACTCACCCTACATTGCACACTTAACCATAGAAATTAAATTTACCATAACCGAAGTATTGTGTTGACAAGACTTTAGTCCCCAATCCATTTCATAATAGCATGCAGCTCTTAACATATTTCGAAAAATTTAATGTCTTTAGTGACAGATGTATTTTTTCCCGTAGCTTGGATATCTTTTTGCTTTTTGTATCAAGACAGTGGTTATATATTAAAGATTGCAACTGTCAAGGAAGTGTAACCTAAAAAATTATGTTAGTATGAAATAAACATCCAACAAAATTTTTCTGAAGCAGGTCTTCAGGTACATATATGAGGCCCTTATTATTGATCCAATAACAAAAAACAGGTAGGTGTTTATTGAAGCAGGGCTGTTATTGAGTGGTATACGGTATTACAAGACAAATATATTAAATAGAATGACTCAGCAAAATGGATAAAAACACTTATGTTTGAGTACTTCAGAAATATTTAAATAGTTTGTTCTGCTTAAAAACATTGCATTAAATTAATATTTGGTGGGTCGGGTCATGTGACTATGTCACTAAGGTTACTGATTAAAAAGATGTTAATACATTTAAAAGGTGTGTAAGGAAACATCAAGACTGGAGCAAATCAGACTAGATTTCACTGTTCCAATTGGATCCAAGAGATTATGGAAGAATGAATAAATGAATGAAAGAATGAATGAAATGTGATTTAAGGCCTACATTTCTACAAGCTAATGAAGATTGGTATACCCCATACAGTGTGCTACAAGGGAACTTTTGCCCAGACAACCATTTGAATTCCAACGGCAATGTGTACATGCACTACTGACACCCGGGGGAACTACTCTGGAAAATCCAGAGGAACTTTGGCAGCATACACCGGAAATTGAACCCAGGATTCCGGAACCTTATTCACTGAGCCACTGTGGCTCGAACCAGGGAAGTTTGAGTTTGAATGTGTGGTAATATTTTTCAGACTTCAGATTATGTGTAAAAAAAGTGTTTTCATCCATTTCATTACAAGATGACATGAATGAAAATGTTAAATTTCTGGACACAAACATTTAACATGTACATATATTGTTAGATTGAGATATTGTTATCTCTAAGGCAGTGAATGGCAAACTTCCTCTGATAATTACAAAATTCTGGTATATAAAGCAGTGATGATGGAGCCAGGAGGTCTACCAAGCTCCTGCACCCTTTTAAAAAAAGAATTCCTGTGTCAATTCAAATTCACAACTTTTCAACAAACAAGACAAAGTAAGCATTCTGGCATGGAGAATGTCAGGTGGCCATATTTCAGTCAGTTTTAGTGGTTGAGGGAGGGGGACAGTGGTATAGAGTACATGTCAAGGAGGAGATTATGATGTCAGAAAATATATGTTATGTTTTAATTAATGAATATAGCACGGTGAGATCAAATAATATTGAAGCAAGTTTTGAAATTAATTTTATACACATGGATTTTTTAAGTTGTCTATCCCAATCATACATTTTCCTGACAATATCAAATTTCTCACAGTTTAATTCATGTTAAAATATACCAGAATTGATAGTTTGACATTTAATTAAGAAAACAAAACCATGATACATGTATCAACAATAGATAATCTTACTGCTTGGATTCAATCTGATGAAAAAGAGGGCCATCAAAAGATTTACAAAACACTGGCACTGTTATGTTTATATTATCTGCAGAGGTTGAATTTATCTTATTTACCGGTATACATAACAAAATTGAACCAATTTTGACAGATTCGACTTTAATAATATTGTAGTTGGCAAGGGATCAAAAATCTCTCAAATGACAATCAGTGGCTTCAAAACATGTCTCACGATTTTACTTAGTTGTAAATTTTAGATAACGCACACTAAACAAATTAAAAGATTAACATTTTCAGGAAAAGTAAATTGATATCATTAAAGGACCCATCCCAGATATATTTCGGTAAATATAACTGGTTAATCCGATGTGAAAATCTTTTAGAAATTTTTATCCTTGCCCTGTGCAACTATTTGAAGTTCTGTGATACTCTTTCAATGAAATAAAATCTTTCAGTTTCCACAAGGGTTAGACCTCAAGTGACAAATTCCATGCCAAATAAGTGCCTGGATAATCCTGTATATACATTTGCAGAAATGATAGAGATAAGCAATTGTCATGATTATCAAGTCCCTCATACAAGAAAACAATATAATTCTTTGTTGTTTTTAACACGTTAAATAAGGCCATTAAGTAAGTAAATTTTGCAATCATTTCCAAACAACTCAATACCCGGTAGGTTAATTTGAAAATTTCAGAAAGTCTAATTGGACTATTTGTCAACATTTTTTAACATTTGATTTGCATACTTTAACCCATTTAAAGAATGCCCCTTTAATAATCTTCATTTTTTCCAAGATTTCCCCCTGTCCTGATAACACCCTCCCTCAAAGCACTGTCATTACGATCTCCCCTTGGACTTAAGGCACATATCAACAACAGCAAGTAATACAAATAAAAACAATACTAAAAGCATTCCATATGGCCGTCGTAACAGCTACCAAGATAAAACCCCAAGCAAATTCAATTCTTTCTTCTTCCAACTGCACTCTCCCCGGGATTTCAAACGTGTCTAATTTAGGTTTTACAAAATGACCGAATATACAAATGGCCACTAACATACAAATACCTGAAAGGAAACAGACACAATATGATTAATTTTCAATAAATTAAAAAATATAGGGAAAAAATGTACTATATATATCTCTATATACGTGTCTAATATATGTGATGGCAATATACTCAAAAACTATCACTTGGTTACCTGCAAGTATCCAGCAAGGCAGCATAAATTGAAAGGCTCTTTCTTCTCCAAAATTACCACATGTTATCCACCATAACATAATCCAACTGGCCAGACCAAATACTACAACCAATACAGCAAATAACTGTACAGCTCTTAACCAACCTGAAATACACAAACATGGAGATTTCATTTTACAATCATCTTATTCACATCTTAAAGCTACTGATCGTCCTTTGCAGGATTTTGAATCTCTTGCAAACTTCAATATTATAAAAGCAATATCATTCCAAAAATGTTCCAATTTCCTTCAGTACAAAGATTGATTGAATATTTTGCAACATTCTCTACAGACGATTTAAACAAGCCAGTGCCTTAGATCTGTCATTGAGTTAAGTGGCGTGGTTTCGATTCCCTGCTTGTACGTGACAAGGAATAGGGTCATCTGTGCAACCTCGGGAGTTTTCTCTGGGTCCTCCAGTTTCCTCCCACTGCTAAGGACACCTACGAGCAAGCGAATTGTCGAAATAAAATTGAACAATATATTAGTCCCAAAATGACCTAGTCGAGTGGATGTCAAACCCCATTTTTCTCTATAAGTATTTGGTAAAATCTTTTGATGGGTCTCTTGTTAATCCAAATGAAGGAGATTATGTATCGTTGATACAAATACAAATGATATTCATATATATTGTCAGTCCTGGAGAATTTTCACTGCATATAGAAAGTTCTTACTTTAGCTAAATCCGACTTCCAGCAACTTTTGATCTTTTTTAAAGGTTTAACTACCACTCAGCACAGACTGGGTCATTTTGGGACTAGACAGTGCTGGAGTCTTTAGCAGTGGGAGGGATTCAGGAATTGGAGAGGCAACACTATTCCTTATAATATACAAGTGTGAAATCAAAATCTTGTCTTGACAAATGCATCAGCCACTCAATTCTTGTATGATTCAATACACATCCAGTTAGCATCTAAACCAACAGAAAAGGGTTCTCAATCTCAACCGCCAACAGAAAAGAGTTCTCAATCTCAACCAGTGATGGGATCTTGCCCGCATATTCTGGAGATTCACAACCGCATCACCAATCAATTCTAGTTTGTATCTAAACCAACAGGAAAGGATTCTTAAACGCAGCAATATAATTTTCAAAATTTTCCAAATCTAATTCTTTATCATGACCCTGAAGATTTAAAAATTAAATTGATTTGGCCTATAAGGGCAATGGATAACACTTTCTGATTCAAATATGTCTTGCTGGGATGAATTATTATTAAAATAACTATTGTTTACAAATTAAAAATAATTTCATAGATTTAATCTATACAGGCGACAGCATCATTTTCAAAATCAACAAATAATTCATGTTTTTCAAGGAATTCAAGACCTATCACTTTCATATTTCCCAGAATGTGTTATGCATTACCTCAATTCTATATTTATGTATTCATGGTATCGAAATAAATAGCCATCTTGGATTATTTACGTACATGTGGCTTTAAAGTTAAAACTGTTGTTTTTAGGGCAATTGGCCAGATTACATAAACGGAGAGCCTGGGTCGACTTACTCTCAACAATCTGTTTTGTGTTACTGATGTAAGATCAGCAGCAGGATACGGAGAACCATACAAATCCGTGTTATATTACTAAGATAGAAGACTTTAAAAATCTAATGTAAATGCTTATTTTTTTTATAATGGGCGATTCTTCTTAATACTGTGGCAGAAAATTCAGAATGAAAGTCATGTAGGGACTTTAAAACCATACACAACCAAAATTAATATTAGTTATGAGTAAAAAAAAAAATGGTCAAGAAATTATTGAAAAGTTAAAGTTGGTTTCTTTTGATTTCATACTAACATTTTGATGTGTCTTAGTTATAGTAATATAAAGTTATGGTCATTTATAATTTACTTTAGTTTCTATTGATTTCATACCATCAAGACAGTCTATTCTTCATGTTGTTTTCTTAAAACTCAGAACAGCTCTATTCAAAATTGGCAGGTTTTATGTTTGCTGATCAAAGCAATGCATTTGTTTGGACTTGGAACCCTTACACAATCAAAAAATTACTGGAAAAAGGCTGTATTCCCTTTGAATTGACAGCAGATTAGAAAACAGTTTGTTATTTTTTTGTATTTAATTATTTCTATTTCATTTCTAACATGTGTGGTTCAAAAGCAGACAATTGGATTTGTTGGGGGAGGGGGCTACCCTTGGATCCTTCCTACGAAAGATAAAAAATTGAAAAAGGTAAGATATGATGGTAGTACAGTGGTGGTATATAAAAGAGATGGTATATATTGATATATAAGATATTGGAAGTTAACTACACCTGGCTAATCAACTCACCTGTCCAATTCTATTTTAGTTTATAATAAGACTAAGAAACTCACAGACTTCATATCAATCGCTCTACAGTGCCGTTAATAAAATCAGAAACTATCATTTTTTCTGGGGTTATACTTGATATAAAGAGGTAAATGGATATCTAATTATATTATGCCCTACAAATCTATATGTGTGCAGAAAACCTGAATGTGTGTGCACATCAGAATTAAAAGAATTGAATACATGTATTTCAGTTTTATACACTATTACTTTGGAAATTGTAAAAATTTAAACCAAATTTGACAAGGTGGGATATTAGTCAAATCTTGCATGAATTGAATATTGCATATATTCCATTCAGACATTAAAAACCCAGCTCGCTATCTGTCTTCAAGAACGCTTTTTTAAAAGCTGACTTATCTTTGCACGCTTCAGCTATCTTAAGACATACATATTTCATTAGTGTCTGTGAAAATTTGCCGTTTCAAGTAGGATATACCTGTGCGTAATTATAAAATTTGGAAATCATATAGATGCAGTCTCACTTTATCAAATTGTTTCCATACTGAATAAAAGATGTAACTCACCTGGAACACCTTGTTCAAGTGTACTGAAACATTCATCACTTGGCAAAAACTCATCTATTATCATATCATGGCTGACACCACAGGCCTTCCATAGTCCAAAATGTGACATCCTGGTAGATTCAAATGATGATACATTAGTGGTCATACTCCAATATGGAATACAAAATCCAACAAGGTACATTACCAATAAGACAGTCGTCCCCAAAGCAAATCCTAAAGCAGCACCTTTAGATTCTCCGAATGCCATTATGAATATTTAAACTTGACACTTTTTAGATCATGGAATCAGAAACAGGCCGATAAACAAGTTATTCTGTTTTTTAAAACAGACCTAATATCATTTCACATTGAACCACATCTCTTTATCCATTCAGCTAAAGGAAGTTATCAGTTCGTCTTTTACAAATTAACCAGGATTTATAACAACAATGGAACAGAATTAAATTGGACCCAAAAACCATAACAATACCTGAAATTAGAAAAGAAACTATATTAAATGTTGGTTATATAAACAAAGAATAAGTAACCAATCTAATACACAGTCGAAAGTTACTAAAGTTGAGTTCCAGTAAGATCTCTTCTGGTGCCAACATAATCATATTGCTGTCAACCCACCCTTACTATTGTAACCATTATTACCTGTATAATACTTGATTATAGATAGACCATCATCAAAATCATATTTTCTTTCATAAAGTCACAAAGTTGAAAGTCTTCAAAACAAAAGTGAATGAAATGGTATTATATATTGAAGCTAAATGGTTGTTTCTTGTAATAGTTCATGACTGTTGATGACAGTTAACAATTAACACCAGATAGTCCTTATCTCCATGGGTTGTTATCAGAACCTAAGGTTTGTGTAGGATTGTACAAGTCTTTTTATGATAGCAGATGTATCAACATAAACTGATAAGGTAAAGAAAAATCTCAGACTTTGCTAAGATTTTATGGTATCAACCAATTTTCAAAAAATCAGTGAAATGATATTTTCCTCAATATAACTTGAAATTTCATAGAGATATAGAGGTAGACATTAATGAGAAAAATATTAGTTAGTAAATGATTGTGGGTTTTTTTAAAAAAATATTTTCTTTGAAAGAATAGAGGAAATTTAGCTTTATTTAATTTTATCTGATAGATGACGTTTTGAAGAGTATAATAAAGGTATTTTTTCAAACATTTTCTTAAAGAATAAAGGGAATCTAGCTTTATCTCATAGGTGACATGATGATGTGTATAATAAAGTTGTGTTTTAAATGTTTTCTTAACGAATAAAGAGAATCTGACTTTATCTATTTCTATCTGATAGATGATGTGATGATTAACAAAGTTGTTACCTGAAAATTTGGTGTGATGATTAACAAAGTTGTTTTTTTAAATAAAGGGAATCTAGCTTTATCTGATAGATGATGTGATGATGAAATACAACTTTCAGATTGAATATAGAACAACTGAACAACAGATGAGGTAAGAATTTAGGTTATTACATACAATGAGGTCAGATAATTCACAGATAGAATATAGGTTAGACTGACAGAATTCATCCTGCATATCATCCCAGCTTCTTAGAGATGTTACAGACTCAACACCTTTTTTGAGACCACAAGATCTATCTTGTTAATTAGCTGTTATTAATTTGTTTGAATTTCCAGCTAAAAGTGTCTTGTATTAGAGACTGGACGATGTTATTATCATCACTTAAAATATGGGTATTATCAAATGTTTGGCATTACAGTAATCAACTTTGATCATATCCTTAATATATTTACATTAATTAATTTAGGTCTACATTTGTTTAATTGGTCACCATGAGGAGGTCGGGTGTTCGATGAGAAACTTCATCAAGATTTTCCGGCATGGTTCTCCCTTGTCAGTGATGCAGGACGGAGGGCCTGATAAGGACAGCTGTCTAGTCGTTCGGATGGGATAAAAAAACAATGTCCCGTGCTCATTAAAGATATCTTGACAGTTGGAATTCAATATAAGAGTAGGCTGTAGTAGCGCTGTCCAGGCAAAAATTTCCCTCATAGCACACTGTATGGCGTAAGCCCGTCTTCATTAGCCAAGTTCGGAACAGAACAGTAGGATGTTAAACCCCATTTCATTTCATTTTGTCACCATGAACTAAGTTGTTAATGTTGTTGTTGTAATAATGCTCACATCCCCTTTTTTAGAACTGTATGATTTGTTTTATAAATACTAGTTGAAACATCAATCAGTAATAAACAGTTAGTGGATTCCATAGAATTGTGCCCTGTGTACATGGATTTATCTTTTGAGTTCAACAAAGCTGAGAAAGAGTCAAGTTGTTGTGCTTGTACAGATCAGATTTGAATATGTTGTGTCCCACTCATTTTTAGTGAAAAAAAATGATTTTGTTAGTCTCAAAATCAAATAGATAAAGAACTGATGGGATAGTCCACTTCATTTCTCTTTTTTGGGTGCATATATTTAGAAAATACAAGTGAGTAATTTGCTGAAAGAACATATGCCAGAAACCTCTTGAAAATTCAAAACCATATGTTCAGCCTTTTAACAAATTTTAACAACCATTAATTTTGCTGACTCAAATAAATTTGCCTCATTTAAAATGTAATACAGCTAACATCTCCAATAAATTTTGTGCAGAATCAGAAATATTTCTCATTTCATTCAAAGTGATAATAACAATAAAATTCCACACAGGAGGACATTATGTAAAGCACTTAAAACACAGTAAACACATGGTGCTCTGTGGCGCTCTACATTCCTGATATGTCTATAATATGGATGTTCTCACCATGGCGTTAAATGTTTTAAATAAAACTCCAAGAAACCATTAAAATATTATGAATCATGTAAGTTCGGGTGTCATGTCTGTTACTAATCACCACTACAAATAATTTATGATTGACGAAAGGCGCCAAATGCTTTCACATATTTATAAATTTTGCTACATTTTTTTAGAGCCATTATAAATTTTTCTGCTGGAATCTTTATGAGGCTTACTATTTGCTGTGCCAGTTAGTTTAAAGTTAAATGAAGCATGCATAACATTTTTACAAGGTTCATGGAAAGTCATTCAGGTATTCCTTAACTAATCATGTGGATGAAAAAGAAGAAATCGAAATGCCCTCTCCCTATCTCTCACTCTACTCCTGGAGTTTGACCCCCCACCCCACCAAATCCTGCCTGCCACACAAAAAGCAACATAATACACATCAAACATACTTTCTGGTCTTACCCAGTGTATTAGTCTACCATAACCATCCAGTGATTTATTTAAATACTAAGGTCTACCATAACAATCCAGTGATTTATTTAACCATAAGTCTATCATAATAATCAGCCAGTGATTTATTTAACTAAAAGTCTACTATAATAATCAACCATGATTTATTTAACTAGAAGTCTTCCATAATAATCAACCTATCATTTACCTACCTAGAAGTCTTCCATATTAAGCAATCAGTGATTTATTTAACTATTTGTCTACCATCACAATCAGCCAGTGATTTATTTAACTAGAAGTCTACCATAATAATCAACCAGTGATTTATTTAACTAGAAGTCTACCATAATAATCAACCAGTGATTTATTAATTTAATCTTGATATTATACACCCATGGTATGTCTACCATGTTTATTGTAATGTTAATGATAATAGAATAGAGGTTTGACCTTTCTATAATATGTCATGATATTTCCCTATACACTGTCAGACTTCTATACCACAGTTCCTGATGTTTAGACCTTATATACCAGGTTCCTGTTGATATATATAAACAATGATGTACACAGATTACTCTAACCTTCTGTTAGAACATATTGTATAAATATCTACTGGCTTTATCCATCAATAAGTTCAACCTACAGGGAATAAAGATTTCAAATTCAAAGCAACTGGGGAATAATGTAGAAATTAGTAGAATATACCATAAATACAATGAAATGGGTTAACATCTTACTTTTCCCAATCAGGCTTATGAAAACGAGTATACACCATGCAATGGGACTTTTTAAAAAATAATTAAGTGTTTATTATATTTCAATAATTCTCTCTTGCATGTAGGAGTCTACAGCAGTCGGAGGAAACTGGAGGACCCAAAGAAAACCCACAGGGTTGGACAGGCAACCCTACTCCTTGTCACGTACAACCCAGGGAATTGAAACCACGTCAGTTGACGCATTGACAGACCTTATGATGCAACGCGCATGCGCTAACCATTGAGTCGGACCAATGATCCGTCAGACCAATGAGTGTGGGACCAATGGTGACCTAGTCTAAATACAATTGCAGTGTCAAGATATGCGATATAATGGTTGTATAAAATGAATTGTAACTTTGGTTTTGAATCAAAGTGAAATGAAATGAAATGGGGTTTAACGTCTTACTGTTCTGCTACAACTGGGCTAATGAAGACGGGCATACGCCATACAGTGTGTTATGAGGGAAATTTTGCCCGGGCAGCGGCACTATGGCCTACTCTTATAACGAATTCTAACTGCCAAGGGATCTTTTATGTGCACGCCAATGTGTACACGGGACCTCTCATCCGAATGACTAGACTTTAAATCAAAAAGCTCACTTTACCCATGATAATGTGACACCGACACCAGAAACTCAATTGTCTTCAGCTTTGGACTCAAATAAACTTGGTCAATAAATGAAAACATATATGGTATATTTTTAACAGTATATTTTTGGTGTCTGTAGGGAGGATATTTATTTTGGATCTAGGGGGGACAACAACCTTACTCCTTCATTAATTAACATGAAGGTCAGAATTATTATCAACTACATCTGTACCTGACTGAGATTCTATTATGTGATAGTAATTCTAGCTAGACCAATGTAGTCATAGTCACCTGTTTGGACCCCGCCCTTGTAGGCGTTCTATAAATAAGAGGTAACAGGTGTCAGAAATAACCTTTTGTAATCTCTTGGGTTAGTACCTCCAGGTCATGTATATAATATCAAATATTCCCTACTTGTAACACCACTAAAACAATAGTAAAACAAAACATTCCTCTTTCTTATCTGAGCTTTATAATGGTGACTTCCACATATAGGAAAGTAGAGCTCAAGACATTTAGTGTTTTTTTTCTTAAAGAGTCAGTGAAAGAAATGGGGTTTAACATCTAATCAACACAAACTAGATCATTTTGGGACTAATGTGTTCATGTTTCAGTAATTCGCTTGCATGTAGGTGTTTTTAGAAGTGGGAGGAAATTGGAGGACCTAAAGATAAAAAACAAGAGGTTTGACAGGTGACCCTACTCCTTGTTACGTCCAAGCAGGGAATTAAAATCACATCACTTGACTCAATAAAAGACCTTATGATCTAAAGTGCATCCATTAAACCTTTCGGTCACTCCCCTCCGCCCTTTTTCTACAAGAAGAGTAGAGGTGTATCTCTAAGTTTTTCTTGTTTACACCAAGAAGAACCTTCAGGATATTTCAAACCTGGCCTTCACCTGCAAGTGGT